GGGTAGCAGATTCCAGGTTTGGGGCCCTGCGGTAAAAATACATGGGGACATCCACACCACAGGCCCCTCTGGCTATGCTGGTTTGAACTGGGTGCCCCCCAGCTGCACATATCTCATCTTATGAAGTGCCAAGTTTTTTCCCTGCTCCAGACCCACCACCAAGCCATTTCCACTCCAGTCAAACCTAAGATGCAAGCGGAGGTCAGAGCCCAGGACGTACTGCCACTAAGACAGCAGTTCCCAATCTTGGGGTCGCAACGATAAAAAATGGGGCTGCACACTCCTGGGGACAGAAGGCATGGGGGGCATGTACCCCCACATGTGCGCACTGGGCAGGGGTGGGAGCAGGTTGACTGCTGTGGGCTCGGGGATCCTTGCCCTGCTGCCGTCCCACTGGGGCTGCTGTGGCATGGGGTGGGGAGGCTCGGTGCCACTGCCAGGATCCCCAAGCCACCACGGTAAGGTGTCCACTGCCTGGCCGGGACACAAGTCTGCACCACTGCTGATGCTTGCTGGTGGGCAAGGTGTGTTTCACCATGGCAGCATGGCCAGTGCGGGGCTCCCAGCAGCAGCACTGAACCTCCCCACCCTCCCACACCGGGTCCTGCGCACTGGGCCACAGAGGTCATAGATGGGGTCATGCTCAGGAACAGTTTGGGAAGCACTGTGCTAAAAGGACTGTGGGTGAACGCAGACACCCCCAACCTACTCTCCTCGGGCTTCAGTTAGGTTGCAGATGCACTGAGACACTACCCTGGTTTGTGCTTGGAGGGTTATAATTTTTTTTTTTAAATGAGATTTTAGATTTGAGATCTCTAGGTTTCAAAATTGCGTGGAACAGGCCAGGGGAAACCTGCAAGCCAAGTGTCAGTCCTAACTAGCCAAGTCTTCCCCACCTCCTAGGCTGCAGTGCTTTTTCCTCCCACATCCCCTCCAAGTCCCAACAGTGCAGTTGGAGAGCGACTGCCAGCTTCTCCTTTAAGGTGAGTGAATGAGCATGCTCCGCTTTAATGAAAAGCTTGCAAGGCAGACCAAGATAAAAATCCAGTGGTGTTAAATCCTCTTTTCTGCCCACAGCGCCCATATCCTCCTTGCTCTGGTGATCGATGCAATGCTGGACGGTTCGTCTCAACAGGCATTGGCCATCAGAGCACGGTGGGAAAGCTCCCCAGCCTTAGCTCAATGGTCAGACCTATGGCATGATTGTGGAAAACATCAAAGTGTCCAAGGGTTGTAAATAGCCTCTCTTCAGTATCTCTGCAATTGAAGTGGAGCTTACTGAGCAACTTGGAAGTGATAGGATGGTCAAAAGATGCTGAAAATGCATTGAAGTGTTAACCCACTGCTACATAAGGACTAAAGTCTAGCTGGGTGTAACCACGTGTTAGCCTGTGGTTGGATGGTCCGATGAGTAACGCATGTCTAAAGACATACCTTTCGAGGACAGCTTTGCATCTGTGGTCCCTGGGGTTTATCCCCTTCAGTTGTACCCACCAACAGATAGTGAACAGAGGCAACTTGGTTTCTGTTTGGTTTTACACACTGGTGAACCTGTAGCAGCCAGTGTGGGAGAAGTGGCAGCAAGCAGGGTGCTCGCTACTCGTGTGTTCATTGCTGTAGTCCACCATGCCAGGAGAACCTACAAGTTTTATTCAGTTGAGGTCATTTTGGGGAAGTTTATGCCATGATCTCAGGTGCCTAAAAAAAAAGCCCTCCCACACCTGCCTAGGCTCATCTGTTTGGGTGCAGACAGACAGCTTGGTGCAGCCCTGAACCCACATCCTGGCACAGTGCTCAGGCTCTCCCGAGCCAGGAGGGCACCAAGACATTAACACACCACAGCTGCAGACTCGGGCATGGCCACAAGTGAGCAGGGCTTATTTCTTCAGCAGCCTCATCCAGCAAGTACACACACACCACCTTCAAGATCCCTTCATGCTTATTGTAAGGACGGGCTGACACGTGGATCAGGTTCTTTCCCCTCCGTCTGCCCAAGGCTGCTACAGCGCTGGACACCTGCTGCCTCCTCCCTGGGCACGTCTGCATCTCAGCCCGGACAAAGACATCCTTCCCTATGAAGTTCTCTCTCTCATAAGGACATCCTAAGGCTTTAAAGCTTGTAAGTCCTTTTGGCTACCAACCTCCCAGAGCCCAGGGGCAGGTCTGAACAATCAGATTTGCAGCTCTGGGTATTTTCATAAGCTACCGGCCACTGAACGGCAAACTAGCATTGTGCAGTTGCTAGTTTGCATTATACACCGCTGGGCTCTTCTCCATTTGGGCACAACTCCTAACGGATTTGCACAGACATTGGTGCCCTCTAGTGCTGTGTATCCAGCATGATGAGAGAGGTAGGTAGCTGTCGAGCTGAAAGTCAGCCAGAAGGCAAGACAGATGCATGCCTTTACGGACAAACTACATATCTATCTTTCTCAAGCTATCTTATTCTGAAGCAAGTCAAAAGGCAGGGTAGATATGCACCTTTATAGATGAACAAAACATGATTTTATATCTATATCACACACACATGCACATGTACATGCACATGTAGCCCAAACCTTCGTAAATCCAAGTTCACTTCATGAGATGCTATGACAGGACAGCAAAGAGCAGAGTGAAGTGGAGTAAGCGTCTACAATACAACAGGTAGGAAAGCAGAAGCGGGAGGGAAGAGGGAAAGGAGAAGAGGGAGTCTACGAGAGGCACGCAAGGAAATAACCTCCAGGAACAAAGGGGCCACAAATGGTAATCCAGGTAATGAGTATTACAGCCTGTTTAACAGCGATTGAGCTGCAAGGGCGATTTTTTTTTTTTTTTTAAGGCATCTTCTAAATACCCAAGCCCGTACTAGGACTGTTAAATGGACTTATAGTTCAGAGGCACCGATATGCCTGACTCCCACTGCAAACCTGACTGTCTGCATCTCCAGAGGCCGATTACCACTAAAAGTCTGGCTCCAAACTTCGTAAGGTTTCAAACCAGGAAGGCAACCGGGTTCCCCCGCTTGCTACCACCCGGAGGAGCCGCGCGGCACAGCTCCAACACGAGCGTTTCAGTAACTGAAAATAAAGACTAGCTTTGTTCTGGCACAGCCTTTCACGAGCGGGTCAAGCAGCAAGAAACAGGCATGGGGACCACAGGCTGTTCGTGGAGCAGATCGACTTGACACAAGGTAATTTGGAAGGAGGTCTCCCAGGGCCTCTACAGACCCAGCTGAATGACAAAGTACAGACACAGCCATCAGAACAGAAAGGTGTTGTCAACCTAACTCCTAAGCAATTGAAAGGGAAGTTCAAAAGCTACCGCAGGCTCCTATCTGGTGGGGGAGAGGAGAGTTGTGGTTTGGGAACTTCTCTCTTTGGCCTGTGAGCACACAACTCCTGGACAAGCATCGGAGCAGGGAAGACTGCAACTCTGAAGGGCAAGTAGCTGGCATGCGTTTCAGAACCACCGAAAATTGCAGATGATGAGAAAAGGAAAGCAGTCTCATTACTCCAACAATGCAGGTATTTAAAGCTTCTGACTCTAAGGACTTGCTGAGATCTGGGACAGATAATATTGTTAATGCTTCACTGCTGAACCTTACAGTGACTGGGGCTGGCATACACCTTCCAACCCCAGTCCACAGTGGAGAAAGCCTGAAAGCAAAGAGCCTGGAACTAGTCCCCAGTGCCTTGGAAAGCAAGCTTTGGTTTGAAGGTTGTTGTCAGCTCACTCACTTTGCGTAAGGACATGAACATTAAACACCACAACCATTTTGGAGGGGGTGCATGTTGGTGGCACTTGGAGGAACGCAGAGGGACCTAATGGCTCTGCATTTTTTTAATAGATTAAGGATGGAAAGGGCCCAAGTAGTCTGGATCACAGACTGACCATGATGGAGCATAGGTCCTGCACCCATTCTAGGACATGAAGGGAGACCAGGAGCTTTCAGAGGATTCAAACACAAGTGAAGTGGTTGGAGAGGGCCCAGCCTCAATTCTGGGAATGAAAGGGTTAGTGTCAGAGGGACTCGGGGAAATAAAACACCATTCTTCAGAGCTGCGTTGGAGCAAAGGTCTCCAAGCAGGAGGCTGGGACACAGGGATTGGCAGTGACCAGGACCAGAGCCCTATTGGAAAAAATGAATTTATTTGTGCCCTCAAGGGGGCATTTCACAGTTTTGCCAGGAATAAAAGGCTACACCGTCTGGAAAGAAACTCTTCAGAGAGGTCCGAATATAGGGACTTGGGAGCCTACCTGCCTCCATCACCATGCGATGCTGTACATCTGCCCGCAGCATTCATGCCTCCACCCCAGAGGCATTCAGGAGAGAAGGGGAGAGGAAGATGTCGTTCCCCTGGAACTCCTTTGAGATCACCCAGCGCGAGCCAGGAAGCAGTCAAGTCCGCGGAGGACTGGGAGCGGGGATGGGCAGGGAGCAATGTTTCCAAGCAGCCTGGCGCCAGGTCTAGGGTTCCCCAGCCTGAGCTCTGCTGACTTGGTGCAAGGCAGCAGCCCCAGGATCAGCCACAGAGACTCAGGGTGGGAAGCAGAGACAGTGCACACCTGAAGAAACCGTGATGATGTCCCCTGGGTTGGGGAGAGGAACAGAGAGAGACAAGGGAAGCCCCAAGGCTAAGCGAGAAGGATCCCAGCTCCGCTCTATCCTTGCTCTGAATCCTTCTCCCAGATTGGCCGGCCTCCCCCCACAACCTGGTCCCACAGAGCACTTTGCAGGAGGAAATGGGACAAGCAGTTTCCCTCAGCAGGTGGCACAGGTAACCGTGGCATGAGACAAGCACACCCACCTTTTGTACTGCTTACCACTATGTACACTACACGCTCCAATTACACAGGCAGAGGCTGGCAGCAGCAGCCGGACAACCCGGAGGAACTCACGGGACCTTTGGTCGGGAAATAAAGGACAACTGCTCTCAGTTGCCTGCCTGGACTCTTCATACCAACTTAGAAACACACCCAGGAAGTGCCAGGACCCCCTGGCTAACACAAATACAAGGTTGGTTTGGACTGGGTGCCATTTTGTTGCCTTTTAATATTAACATCCTGTTGTTGCTCGGAAGGGGATCAGGATAAAAGGGAATGTCTCTTTTGGAATAAAAAGCTGTGAAGCATCTGGGGAATGATAGACAATGTTAAAACGTCCAAGCAGACAGAACTCAGGACTTCTTGGGTCCCTGGGCCTTCTTGATTTCCTGTAAGAATACACAGAAGTAGAAAGGTCATTTATTGCTCTCTAAATTATTCCTAAATCCACAGATTTTAAGCCCAGAAAAAGACAGTCAGACCTGCTGAGAAATACGGGCCACTACATTTCACTAGCAACCTTTGTGTCCAGCCTGTCCGGTGCAGCTGAAGAAAAGCTCCTCTTTTAGAAATACATGCCATCTTGATTTAGATCAGTGATTTGCAATCAGGGTGCCACGGCACCCTGGGGTGCCCTGAAATCCTTTCAAGGGTGCTGTGGGATGCCATGCAATATTAGCACTGCCAGATGTGAAACATGTTTCTCACGACAAACCCAGAGATGTCAAATAGGAATCCACGGTATCAGAAATGTTCAGATATGCTGTGGTCTGAGTTCTTTGCAATAGAATAATTACCCTAGTATTTCCCTGAGTTCATAAAACAAGTTTCATAGTAGTTAGGGGTCAGAAGGGACCCGAATAGATCATCCAGTCTAAGTGAAAAGTAAGAGCAGGCTCTCTCCAAGGACTGCCTTCAGTCTAAAAAAGTTTGTGAACTGCTGATCTGAGGGCTTCATATGATCCTACATATCCTTTGGTAAAACTGCCCACATTACACTCAGTGTTAAAAACGCATGCCTCTGCTCATCTGATGCCATCTAGCTTCAGCCTTCAGGGCTCAGCGTAAGGACATATGACACACTCACTATGCTTGCTCTGGGGCCATCTCTGTTTGCTGCAAAGGAAAACTGGCATGAACACCCTACCCAGCACATTTACTCTGGAGGAAGTGCTGTTCTCTGCTGTAGCATCACTTCTGAGGAGGTCAAATATAAATTTACTCTGAAGAAAGTTTCTCTGATAAAAAGTAGACAGTGGTAATGGGCACATGCAATTCCATTCTGGGGTAGTCCTTTGCTTAAAACTGGCTCCTCCGCCACGTAGTGACCAGACTCTGTTACAGCACCTGCTTTGGGCACCCAGTTTGGGAGAACTAGTTGTCCCTGATCTTTACAACAGAGTTAAATTATTATTCTGGAGTAAATATGCCATGTATCTGCACCCTTGCTCCATCTTCATCTTCCAGGTTAGTCTACCATCTAAGCTTCTCCCAGTAGCAGTACTACCTGTACTAATGTGTAGTAACTACCTATACTAATACTCCCAGTAGCAGTACTATCTGTACTAATGTGTCTCCAGCTCTGCTCATCAGAGAGCCTGGAGTGTGTTATCCTAGACCCTCTGGATTATTAGGGCTGGTTTTAAGGGGTCTGCAGAAAACATTGAGAGCAGAATTCTCTGTGGAGCCCAGAGATCAGTTCACAGCTGAGGACGAAACTGCAGCACCCAGAACGCTGCTGGGAACAGACGAGCTCGTCTCCAGGAAGTCATTAATATCTGAACAGCTCTAAATAGGTTTAAAAGGGTGGGTGTGTATCTATGGCAAGAGGCTGAGCATGGGGGATACTTGCACTTGCAACCTAGGTGTGACACTGACTCCCCCTGTTATTCTGGTCAAGTCACCTACCCTTTTACATCTTAGCTCCCCTGCCTGCAAAAGAGGATGACAGTAGCTGCCCCTCTTATAGGAGCACTGTGACCCCTCTGCTATTTGTTACAGCTCAGCCAAACATGCCAGCAGCCCAAATACTGAATGCCAGGTGATGTCTTCTGTCCGGTGCAGGGGCCAAGGTTCCCTCTGTTTCTTGGTATTTGTATCATGACTGAACTTGTGAAAGTCGCTGATCACTTCCTGATGGAGATCAGGACACTTGGCCCCATGCAATGCTAGAGGACCTGGTCCCTAGCCAAGACGGCTTCTGCCGATAACGATCCCAGATCAGGAAGAAAAGCCTCTGCCAATGCACAAGTCAGCAGGGCACTTCAGTCTAACTATAGGCACCAAAGCCAAAAGTGCATGGAGTTGGGCATGTGCCTCCATATCTCCCTCAAGTGGGGACCCTACTGCTACTCACCATTTTGACTGTGCTGGGAAATGGTACGTTTGTCTGCCATCCTTCCCCCCCGCCCCTCCCACCAAGTCATTCTCCATTTCCAGCAGCCTGTACAGGCAGAGATGCCCCAGGTGACAGGGGCAATGTGCAGGGGATCCACGTGAACCCCCTACACTCGGCGGTGCACCCCCTGCAAAAAGCTGACAGTCCCGGATTGCCCGTCTGCTGCTGACACTGCCGGCAGCATCTGCAGGAGCTCCCCGCTGCTGGTGCAGCCGTGCCCCCCCAGCCGCCGTTCATGCCAGGTGACTTACCTCTGCAAGAATCTCCTTCAGTTTCAGGTAGGCTACTT